ATTATGTATCCAAAAAAAGGTCACTGAAAATTTTTAATTAATCTTTTTAATACTTTCAAAAATAATTACCCATATAAAGATTATTTATCAATCCTTTAGGGAAATGAAATATTGTTTTTTAAATCTGACTTAAAGTATTTTGTGCAATAACAAATTAATCATTATGTGAAAAATCTGTAATATTGTAGATAGTTACATAACTTTTCAATAAACCATATAACATGGTTATAGGTTAAAAAATTTTTTTTCAATAAAAATATATCCTAATAGTATAATTATAAGTTAAAATAAATAAGTAAAATAAATCCCGTATTGTATATCAAGATATCATGATTGTGAATTAAAAAAAATTTTTTTTATAATAATAAATTATAAACAATTAATAAATTAATTATTATATTAAAAATGTTCTTTATTTCTTTATAGTTCACAAAAAAAAATAAAAATATTTTCTTTTTTTTTTTTGAAAATACAATTTGAAAAATGATGTCGATCATAAGAGTGTTTGCATACACATTTTAAAATGTCCGAGTTACCTGTAGAAATATTTCGCCTAGTCTTTGGACTTCTTTCACATGACAAGAAATTTTTGCACTCGTGCCTTTTGGTAAATCGGACTTGGCGCGAAAGTGTCGTTTCTATTTTATGGAGGGATCCTTTTAAATTTTTGCAGAAACCTTCAGCGCAGCTCATTCAAACATACATTTCATGTATGGACGAAGCTGGGCGAAAAAACTTGGAGGGATTAGGCATTAATTTTGAAAACGAGCCTTTGTGCAGGCCTACATTTGATTATGTGGGTTTTTTACGACACCTCAAGTATACCGATTTTTACTATTCTTCTCGAGCCTGGCTGGAAGAGATTTTGGGACAACAAAAAAATCTCGATTTTGCTGGATTCTTAGTGACCAAAGAATTATTCAAATTTTTCATGAACCAGTGTCAAACAATTTTATCTTTGGAAATTAATACTGAACATTTATATCCTCCCGATGATGCAGATTATGTGTCAATACCTTGTTTTCCTGGCGCCCCCAAATGTTTATCTCAATTGCAGGATTTTGTGTGTTGCGGAAATTATAATAAGAAAGGGATTTTCAAGGAAATGACACAATCATGCAGAAACATTCGGACGTTAAGTGTGGACTATTTCTTGGACGAATTTAAAACCGCAGCACCTTCAGAGTTGGCACGCCTCATTAAAAACCAACACGCCTTGGTTGAATTCAAACTTATAGTGTGTTATCGTTTCTTGTCGAAGATCATACCGGCTTTGGAGAGTCAGAAAAAGACATTAACCAACGTAGAATTCCGTGGTATTCGATTTGAAAATGGTGTCACATTTGAGGCACTTGTAGCCTGCACCAGTTTGGAATCATTGACTTTCTTTAATTGTGACAACGTCACGGATCAAGCTTCGGACCCTTTGTCTACTGCATTTTTCCCTAAACTTCGAAAGATAGTGTTTAATGTACTTCACACGCCGCCCAAAGCATTGGCAGCCTTAATTTGTAACAATAGCGTCACTCTACAGGATTTGTCATTGGAATGGCCACCACTTAATGATTCCCAAAGTGATCCACAAATCATTGAAAAGATTATAGAACAATGTCCGAATATAATCAAATTTGAAGCACACTTAAAAACTTCGCAACTGTTATCACTTCTAGGGAAATGTTCTTTGTTGGAAGATCTGACGGTTCGTGGTAGGGAACCGTTATTCGCTGATGGATTTTTGCCTCAACTTGGCCAAATGGCTCCTCCAAAATTACGTGTGTTGAATATCTGTGCTATTTGGTCATTCAGTCCAGAGTCTTTACAGCAATTTCTTGACCATTGCACTGCACCATTGGAGTACATTGGTCTTCGTGAATGTTACGCCATGAATGATGAACATTTGGATGTTCTGACCCAATACGCGGAGAAAGGGACGTTAAAACATCTGAATGTCAAAGCTGCAACGAGGATTACGAGAGAAGGATTGGAAAATGCACTTAGAGTAATTAGCCATGTCGATCACAGCCTGAAAGAAGAGAGAGAAGAACCTTTAGTGAATGCTGAAAATGAAAACGAAATCGTAGAAACCGAGGAATCATCAGAGAATGATGAGAATGCTAAAACTGAAGCCGAGAACTTACAGGCCGAGGAATCTTCAGAAGTTACCACTAGAATCACAAATGAATACGGGGCAATTGGTCAGGTTGATCAAAATCTGAAGGAAGACGGAAATGAGTCTTTAGAGGATGCTGAGGTAGAGAGAGAGACCATAAAAACCGAGAAGTCCTCCGAAAATGGTGAAAATAAACCATGCTGACTTTTCGAGTCTTTGTAGGGATGTCTAGGTTGATATGTTGGTAGGGTAGGAATTGGAACAATCGTGTCATTGAATTAAAATTATAAATTATTTTTGTGTCATCATTACTTTTTTTAATGAACCAAAAAAAATTGATCACGCTAATCGATGTGGTAATACCACGTGACTATTTATATATGATATCGTGACCTATTTCATATGTATTACGTGCGTACGGTTAGTTACGCCTTTTCTCTTAAAAGTTGTTATTAACATTGAGACTATCATTCTTTTGTACAATAACACTCTTGGACAAAAGTGAATAGAGTCTCCGGAATCTTCGCAATGCCAAATGGTTGGCGGTCAGCAATCAAACCCGAATCGAGTTCCATCTCAAACGGTGAGTGTTTTTTTTTTTTTTCTTTGCACAAAAAGATATTGGTTTCTTATTGCATTTTGTATTTTCTAATTAGGCGAAGCGCTCTTACACCTATGATGCCGTCATGCGGTCGGTATCCTACTGCTTACACGGGAAGGCTCGTTCCTTACTGAATGAAAAATAACCTCTTATTTATTGAAAAGAATAGACTAAACAACATAGAAAATTGTTTAATTGACATGCAAAAGTCGCGGGATGAAGTAATGGCAAACATTGGACAGATCTTGGAACGGGAAAAGCAGAAACTCGTTCTAGTAAGTGTCTGTCTGTTTTATTCGTCACCATACAACCTTTTGACTACACAGCTGTATTTTTATGGCATATCAGCAAAGAGAAAAAAGTTCGAGTTCACTGCGTCTATCTCGAGATCGGGCTGAAATTGTTAACCAGAGAAAAACACTTGATGAAGGTTTGTTCCACAAATCTTAAATAACTCAATACAAGATACCATCTCGATTAATAATAGTTTTAACATTATATTGAAAAAAGATCGTCAACGCATAGCTTCTTTAAGAAATGATATCCTTTCTCGCCGAGCTGCTTTAGAAGATGCAAAAAATCGATTTCATACGGATAATAAATCTTTGGAGGAAAGCCAAAAGATATTGGAACGAGATCGGTTCGTTTTGCTAAATTTGGAATTGGTTTTGAAATTTTGTTCGTTCTTTTTTCTTTCAGATGGTCGTATTGAATAGGGTTGATGTTCATAGCGAAGAACTCTACGCGAAAACTTCCGAACTTTGCGCTCGTCAAAGGGAACTAGTTGCCGACCTGCTTACAATATATCCCATTGAGCCAGTAATGACATCTTTCTTTATTGAAATTAGCAAAATTTACAATAGTCTTTTTATTAAATTGTCATTTCTATTAAGGTACAATCAGAATCATTTTCCTTCAAGATTCTTGGCGTGCCACTACCTAATTCAGTGTTTACTGGTAATATTAAAATGCTCTTTTATATATATGCATATTATGCACATAATTAAACACTATATTAACTATCAGGATGCGACGAAGAACAAGTTGCTACGGCGCTGGGTTTCACATGCCATCTTATTAAAATGCTTGCATATTATCTTGGTGTTCCCTTAAGGTTTCCAATGACGCCCATGTCTTCTAGGTCGTCAATATATGATCCTATATCCGCTTCATTGACGGCCTCGAAACAGTAAGTCATACTGCTCCAAGTTGATTGATTGACTTTCTTTACCCCGCATAAGTTCAGGGATGTAACACCCGTGAAAAATTGAACGTCTGCGTCAAACCCTATACTTAGGAGTTATGTAATATGCGTGACATGCAGAGTGCTTTTCAGATAACTTTTCAACTGGAACATATTGAACTTTTGCGCGTGGAAAGGGGTTATATTAACAATCAACTTGGAGTTCTGTAATTATCTGAATTTTGATTATTGACTTCTGTTCTACTCGTTTTCTCGTTAAGTACTAAAAAAAAAAATTCTTTCTTTTCCAGGTTCCCTTTATATTCCAAGGGAGTTGATCGTTACCAATTTGAATATGCAGTTTTTTTACTCAATAAAAACATTGAACAGGTTTGTCTTCTTTTGGTAGCATATTACGCGAGGATTATAACTGACGTAATACATAATTTAAAATATTATTTAGCTGATGAATTCACAAGGTCTATTGGTTATGGATTTGAGGCACACCTTACCAAATTTGAAATATCTTATCCTCAGTTTGGTTTCAACATCGCCCAGTCAAACATCACATTTACGCAAGTTTATTCCACATAATTGTACAATACCTCAACCCGTAAATGATAAAATTCCGAATGATAGCAATGAAAGTTTACCCTATATTCATGATAATGAGGGAAATAATTCTCTTTTAAGCACTCAAATTTCTATTCAAGCAAACGGCTCAAGAAAATCACAGACTGCTATTGTGATTTCAAAGAATGCGAACGAATCTCATCGACAAACAAACACTGGATTTGAAGTAGGAGTCACATAGTAAAAATTGAATGACTTTAAAAAACATCTATTTGTTGTTCACTGGGTGAACTCGCGGTTGTGCATTAACTAGAGTGTATAATTAATCATTCAAGTTTTGATGCAAGAATTATCTTAGTGTAAATTATCATAAAAAAAGAAGAGGTTAGTCGAATTTACATGTTATATTGTATATCTTAGCAAAAAGCTCGTATTGTGCATGAAACGATTAATGCACCGATCTAAAGTAGAATCTTGATTTCAAAGTTAAAAGAAAGCGAACCAAGATTTTAAAATTCGAATCTTTAAAACTTCATCAATAATACAGTATATAACTATAATAATAGATTCATTTATGACGTTGAAAATGCTATTTAAATTGTGTAAAAAATGAAATTATTAATAATAAATTTCGATAATATAAAATTATATTAAAGCAATGCATTTTTCTTGGGATACGTTTCCTCTGATATCAAGTTGACCGGAATTAAAATAGGCTTAACAAGGAGCTGACAAATTAAATTAAAATTAGTGGACACGTGACCAATTGTATATATTAAATTCAAATATTTTTAATCCATAAATAAAAAGTTGTAAAGAGTTAGTTATACTGTATATTGACTGTCAATTATCAAATTTTCTATCAGACTTAAAACAAATACTTTCTATTTCAAAAAGACAATAAATTCTCTAGATAATAAAAAGATTTAAAATAATTTAAACAAATAAATATAGATATATTTATTTATAATTACTAATCAAAAAATGGAGAAATCAAAAAACTCTTTCCGCTGATCCTCTGACCACACACAAAAAAGGTGTTTGCAAGAAGTTTTAATACTTCTGTGCTAATAAAGTCTTACCACTTTCTTTAAACCAACTCAAAAAGTTTCTTCAGAACTCTCTCACTTTTTTTCTCTCTTGTTTGCAATCTCCTTCGAACAAACTGGACTCTTGTGGCCTGCAAAGTTCAGCTCTTACCTTTACTATCTATGGCAGGAAAGTTCTTAAAGGAAGAAGGAACAATACTGAAGTACATCTTATCTATTAGTTATAGTGGAGATAACAAAGGTACATAACCGGTCAAAGGACTCATTTTTCTCCCCTTTGACTGACGTTCTTGCCTTTTAAAGCTACCTTTTTCATGGCTTCTTGGGGAATTTTGCCTACCTTAGCTTGACCCTGAAATTTCAAGTAGCACGGATCTCGCCAACTCTGATTGGCTGACACGAAATATGTTGGACAAGATTGATAAACAAGCTTCCATTGACCACCTCACGTGTCTGAATTTATTTCCTCAGTTCCATAAGAACCTAAGGTCCATCACAAGTCATATGTTCCTGGTACGAGTGGATACAGAACATGCTCTTTCTCATATCAATAGAAATTCAAATGAAAGAGTCCATCCAACCATGGTAAAGATTACAAGCACTCCAATCATTTTTGATATTGGAGTCATCTACTCTTGGCAGTCAAGTAGGTTTCCGTAGCTCAGGCAGATAGGTGAAGATTTGTTTCTTTTTCAAAATAAAAACAAACAAGGTGGGCAGGAATTTTTTTCCCGGCCAGCGGGTTTTTTACTCCTGATCCATGGTTTGTGGAAGGATCAGAAACCAAAGAACCACACCAAGAACTTCAACATGACTTCCTCTCAAGCATGGCCTCTTAAGATCACTAGTAGTACCCACCAATCTTACTCCTAGGGAGAGTACTCGAATAGAAACTTTCGCCAGATTGGTAGACCCCCTAAAGACTTAACCCAACTTCGGAAGATTTGCACCTTCTTAAATAAGCAGCGTATACTTGAAGCTGGTATTATCTTTAGAATTAGATCGACAATCCCTCCAAAGGTTTTAAGGTATCCTCCTAGCCATAGATCCTACCAGATTCTTTGAATGAGTAATCCCCTAGGCAGAGCACGGAGCTCTGAAACCATTCCCCGCCCCTATCCCAAGCAAGACAACCACTCTCTCTCTCCCTTTCAAAGATTAGGATACAGCATCCCGGCAGATAATTTGTAGGTATTGGTAGTTTCATGGTGGAAGCTTCAGTGGATGGTTGGCAGTAGAGAAAATCTAGGTTGTCGCCTGGCAGCTCTCTGATGTTTTATTTTTTATTAGTTACCCTTTCTTGGTAACAACTACAAGGAATATAGTCACTAACTCGGCCCTGGCAAGTTAGTTCTCTACATGGGAGGCAACAGACCATGGAGATCCCTACAGGAGATTCGAATCAGAAGGAATCTTTGCATACATCTTTTAAACATACATGCTAGTATTGTTTCTAAATTTGTAGTTAGCTCTAAATTAGATAATATAAATGTAATATCACGTTTAAAGTTAATAAAAGCCAACCGAAGGTTGAGCTGATCAAAAAAAAAAAAAAAAAAAATTACTAGTCAAAAAATATTAATAATATCTGCAATATCAAATAGTTTTTTTAAAACTCTTTCCGCTGATCCTCTGACCACACACAAAAAAGATGTTCGCAAAAAGTTTTATACTTCTTTGCTAATAAAGTCTTTATATTTTCATTAAAACAACTTGAAGCTTGTGTTCATGTATCTCTTTTACCTTCCCTTACTTGTTTATAAACTCCTTTGAATAAAAACTTGAGCCTCTAGTGGTC